GGCATTTAGGGACTTGGAGATGGGCTTGGCAGTGCTGGGTTAATGGTTGGATTCGATGATCTTCCAACCTAAATTATTCTATGGTTCTATAATTGCATACCTTTTACAAACTGTAAGCTAAGTACCCAGGCTTATAACCATTACCCTCTTTGGCATTGTTTTCAACTTCTGCTTAGGATAGACAACTGTAGAAGATGTACTGTTGTTACATCAAAAGCCAGGTCTTGCAATAACAAAATTTTCCCAGTGTAGATATTATTCAGTTCTGATGTCCAAGTCAGCAAAGGAAGAAACTGTCAGTGTTACTGTGGCTTGTAGGTACATGCACTGTTTGAGAAAGAATATAACTTTTATGGATGTTACCATATCTGACATGTCAGTCTGGTTACAACCTTTATCACCATATTTCCAGTAGTTTTGAAGACATCTATAATTTTTAAGTGCACAGCTGATGATTTATGAAACACATGTACTTGTCAAAAGTACTCTGCTATCTTGAATCTTCCCATTGAAGTCACAGGTAAAACTTCTTGTGGGAGAAGAAGGCTCATGCTAAGTGATTTGAAAATTCTATGACCTTAGGCATGTGATGTCCAAAAGAATAGCAGTGAACAGGAAAAATCAAGACTCTACTAATGGTAAGAATTAATTCTTGGATATTTTGTGGTTTTGTTCACATTTCTTTTGATATCTTGCAACATAAAAATTTATTCTAATAACTGCTTTTACAATACAAATGTACATGCAAAGAAAAAATCTTTTCAGGATCAGTCTCTTCTCTGACTGCCTGAAATGAAAATGAAGGGTCAATTAGGCGCATATATGAATACATTTATTATATGACTAAATGAAAAATAAAATGTAGGCAGAATTTCTAAAGACACAACCCTTTAGCAGACCATGGAAAGGGAGTAAGGTAAGCAACAGATAGCGAGGAAAGAAGGTCGATGAACTAACTTTACTGTCTGTTCTGTGAAATTGTTTTTAATTGCTTCATAACTTGGCTTTCTCTGCATCTGTGCTATTATATTTGAACTCCTTCATTCTAAAATTCTGTGGCATGTACATCAGAAACTGAAAGTCTTTAGCTTTGGAGTTATGTCATTACTGAAGTAAAAGTAATTGAGAGTTCTCAGAAGGCTCTTTAGCATTCTGCCTAAATACTGCTAAATCTTAGATAGTCCTTTTTTATTTTACTTAGTAATCGTTGTTCAGAGATTTTAGAGCATTACTCATATGAATGTGCTTTAGAAGTTGTATTATTATTGCTATTATGCATCATTATTATCTCTGTCATTAAAAGTAACAATATCTATATCCTCCAAATAATTATCAGTGACCAATCCAACAAGTGATAAATCCAGTCCTTCATATTTGATTTATATTTGCATGCTATTACAAGATGAACGTGATCTCTATGTATGTCTTGATTACTGAGTAAAGTGGTGTTTGTAAAGAAAGAAATATAAAAAATGGGAAAGACTTGTATTGTGATGGCTATGATTTGGACTTTCTTGAAAAATGAAGCAGTTTCTGTTGTATTCTGAAGTCAAACGATGAAATTCACAGAATAAAAACATGCATCACATTCTGAGTCTCTTGAAATGCAACATATGAGTAAAGTATCTGTTTAAGTCAAGAACTAGCCAAGACTAGTCAAGAACTTATTCAGAAGTTGATTAATTATATGGCAACTGGCAAGGAGTAACACAATGCATGTCAACTGAGAAGTTGAGTGCAGTCCTCTTTTATCAGATTCCAGCCTCTGCTAGGAATCTGGTTCACTCTGGGGGAAAAAAAAATAAAGCAAAAGCAAAAACCCCCCAAACCAACCAACCAACCAACCATAACAAAAAACAACAACAAACCAAACCAAACCAAAACAAACCCAACCCCAAACAAAAACCCCAAAACAAAGCAAAACCAAACAAACAAACAAGCAAAACCCAACCAAGACCCAACAAAAAAACCCGGACCAAACCAAACAAAAAACGATAAAAAACCAAAACAACCCCCAACAAAGCCCAGACCCTTGAAACTCAGCGATATCAACAGTTATCAAGCAGTTTTTGTTGGAAGAGGGTAAAGATCCAGTAAGCAGTCTAGATAATACTTCCAAGTGTAATCCAAGTAGAAAAATGAAATAACTAATTTTCCTTCCATCTCTTAGATCAATGAATGCTGTGAGATACAGAAGAAAATAAATGCAATCTCCACAGGGACTTGAAGAAATTTTATTTTGCCCTGAGACTATTACTTTGTCATGAGACCCTTGCAATGTGATAAAAATTGTGCCAGTGTAGATGCATGTAGTGATCTAGTGAGGTAGTCAAGGAGTTTTGGTAACATCATTTTATCACATCTTTATTTTCCTTAATAGATACTATTGTAGTGTTTAACTACATATGAATGTGCAATAGAGATGCAGGTGAATATATATGTCCGTATAGTTTACTGTGGTGTCTGAGTTCACAGTTTGTACTATGGTTTTGCTTTTCCTCTGCTATGGCAGGTTGTGATTTGCTCCCTTGTGATGATTTCTTCAAGCAGTTATATAGTGGTTGCCTGACTTAGGTAATTGTAAAATGAATAAGAACTGGTGCACTATGGTAACATGAATAATAATAGCCATATCAGAGTGGGGGTTTTTTGGTTTTGTTTTTGGTGGGGTTTTTTTGTTTGTGTGTTGGTTTTTTTTTTTTTCCCCCCAGATTTTAACCTGCATTATGCAATTTGACAAATAAACAGATACAATGTGGTCTTGTTATTTCCCTGTTAAGCTTAGGGCTTCTGCTTCCATACAGCTTTGTCTACAGTCCTGTAAGAACAGGGCTAAGAATGATATTGGATGGATTCTGACTGCAGCAATGTCAGTAATATCTTCCTAGGAAAGGAAAGGATATTGTCAATGATGCATCACTGCTTGCAAAAATAAAGTATTTGAAAATATTTGGTCTTGCTTGTAGTGCAGTCCAAGGCCCAAGGCCCAAGAAAGCTCCACTCCTATGTTTCCATGACAGTAATTTTTCTTGTCAGTTCCTGACTGTCGATTTACATGAAGTTCTGAGTAGGACCCTGTGTGTCAAGATATGACTGTCAGTACTGATTATGGCAGTCTTCCTTGTCTTTCCTGTTTCATATCATCTGGGTATTAGGAAGTTATCAGCTCTTTATTTATGGGAATTTTTTCTGCCTCATGCTAAGCCATATATTGTTATGTGAATAAGCACCATGTAAATGGATAGATAATAAACACTGTGCTGAGACTGTTTGCATAGATATTGCCAAAATGGTCCCAGCCAACAGTTAGTCATTAATTTCTCCTTCTATTCCTTTTGGTAGGCTGACTTCCTGTAAAACTTTTCTGGTTCAGTTACAGATTTTTATTGTTTAGCATATTTTGCTCATATATTCAACATACTCTAATATATGTACAAAAGAATAGGTCCTTGTTGATAATCAGCATGTTACCATCTATGAAAAATAAACTTAATCCCTGGTATTGGAGTGTTTGTTTGCCTCTGAGGACTCCTAATTTCTCTGACTTTATTCCACTCAGTGCATGTTGAGGTAGCATCTTTCTTATCCAGCCCAAGAGTATCTGGCCAGGTTCCACCTGGTCCTTGTCACAGACACTCAGAAACAAATGACAAGGATCACCATAGACACTTGATTTCCATGTCTCTCATGCTCTAGCACTGGATATATTGCTCCTGATTACTCCCAGTCCCACTTGGCCCAAAGCAAAAGCTAGACTGGCTCCTGAATTTGAGACTCTCTTGTGGCGGAGTAAAGAACTAGATTCTGATTCCTATATATGTTTTGTGTGAACTGATGGAAACACTCTTAGTAAATCTGGAGTTTTGAATATAGTCACATTATTTCTGAGATTATTCTCTTGATATTGAAATAGACATGCAAGGTTGTTAATTTGTATGCTCTAGGAATGTTCAATTCAATGTAATAAATGTGCTTCCTGTTTAGTTAGCAGAATTATTGCTTTCAAGAAGACATCAGTTTAGGCTCATACAATTTCAAAAGGGATAGCATTTTTGGGGTAGGGCTATTGAAGCAAATGGTGTTCATAGAGGGGCAAAAGATGGGTTTACTTCGGACAGGCATCTAGTTGTTTTTGATGTATTTGTGAATTTTGACAAAGTAATTGTGTAACGAGCTGAGCTCATCTGCTTTTACTAGGATTAGACCTACCTAGATAACATTTTTTGAAGCAGTCAAAAGGGTAGGTGTGCGTGAAACACTTATCTTTTCATTTCAGAGCCTCCAGAGCAACTTCATTCTTTCATTTCAGAGGGAACATCCACTGCCAAGCAGAGACATAATACTGTCTTTTTTTTAAATTACTGGAACTGGCTCTCATGTCCTTAGCAGGGATGTCATGTTTAGGAAAACAATGATTCCCTCAGGACTGATTTCTCATTTACTACTTCAAAAAAATATATGTCTCAAGGGAGCTTCTAAAGGCATCATCAACTCTCTTTTTCTTTCTAGTCTCATTTGTTTTGGTATTATGAATCCTACAACTCCCTAACGTATCATGTGAGGTTGCTGTAGTACACGCTCTTGCTGCAACTGAGATGTGAAGGAAGGGATACTTGTTTAGGGATTACTACTGCTTCTTGCTCAGATGTCCCAGCCATTTCAATGCACGCTTTACATCCAGATTTTCTTGTTTATCTGTCAGTTCATTATTTAAGGCCAGCTTGTCAAAACAGGTTAAATATTCTTTGGGAAACATGGTTACATCTCTGAGACACCACAAATATGTTTAATACGAAAAGATTGGCTTGATAAAAGAAATATGATAAACTTGCATCCCCTAAAATACTTTTCTGGTGTTCCATGTAGATTTCTAAAAGTATCAGTACGCAATGACAAACTTCATGGCAAGACATTTGTGGAAAAGGCGCAGAGAGACAAATCAGTGAAAATGATTGCTGATGATTTGTTCTAACTACTTGACCTTGTGACATCTCCCCCAGATATATGACCAAGATGGGACACTGCAGCACTTTATCGATGGTGGAGAACCCAGTAAGTCAAGCTGGATGAGGTATATCCGATGTGCGAGGCACTGTGGAGAGCAGAACTTAACAGTGGTTCAGTACAGGTAAAGTGTTTTCTGACTTACTCAATGATACAAAGTTTTAGTGGATGGTCAGGCTGTAACTGTCACCTGTCCTGTTGCCTTTGGTTGCAAAGACAGGAGCAGAAATATGGCTATGCTCATTTGGGGCAATAATAAAAAACTGCGGTGTGAAGCTCCTGGGAGCCCGAGGAGCCCTGTGTCACTGTGTGACCACTATGCCAGACCGAGCCCTCTTTTTTGAATGATCTGATCAGAAGCAGACCAACACCAGCAGTCTTCCACCCTTAATAGAATTGTTCAACTTCTGTGTTGAATGCACCTGTTAACCGACAGTGCTAGAGCTTGTACCTCTTACGTTGCTGGCTGGAGAAAGTCAAAATGCAAAGAAAAATGTAAAGAAATTATGGTGCATTTTACTTTGTACTCGCAGACACATCCAGAAAACCCAGACAACACATTACATAAATACATGATCTCAGCTATAAACAAACCTTTTGCCTCAGAATTAGAAGCAACCGCTTGACCTTATTAAATATGGTAGGAAACACATCAAAGAATACCCCAGGCTTGCCAGTTGCAGTGAGCAATCCTGATTTTAGAAAGCAGAGTTTCTTTTATTTAGGAAGAATCTTAAACTTATTTAAAGTACCTTTAAAATTAAAAATAAAACATACAAAAAGAAATCTAAAATGAAATAAAGTTTGATTATACCATAGGGTTCCAATTTAACAATAGTAAAATTGTTCAATTGCATTTTCAGATTTTTTATTCTTTATCCAGTTGACTAAATAATGCCACAGTTAAAAAAATAACAATCCTATTTATACATTAAAAATCTTTTATTATAGACTTAAGTATCTGCTATCTATAGCTAAAATACCATAGGATTTTAAATAAACATACTGGATAATGAATAAAGATTGCTGTGATGAAAGAGTATTTTTGTGGGTATCTTGTGGACTATTTCTCAATGTGGTGATGTGTGACTGCACATATATACATAAAAATAAGAAAAAAATATATACGCATACATATATATAGACGACAAACCCAAATGAAAAGTGAGCATGAGAAAGTCATTACACATCTGTCAATATTAAGTGGATTTTACAACTCTCCTTTCATGATGGAGTTTTTACTTAGAGTTCCCCCTGTTGATCTGTTTTCTATTACTTCAGATCTTTATAAAATGAACTACAAAAACACAATTTAAAAAACTGGCATCCATCACCAGTGACTGCATCCAAGTGTAAGAAAATAGAAAAGTTGGACACTGAAAAACCAGCCTAATTTTTATTGTACATGGACGTCCTCCTCACAGAAAGTCAGCTGGTTTAAATTCATTCTGTTATGATTTGTAATATCTAAATGGAATTTTCTTCAAAGTGCTCTTGATTGATTGACCCTTAGCTGAACGTTTTGTTTTTATTTTGAGGCTGACAATAATGTTTGTTGGCATGTGTTCTGCTTCAACTGCGTTGGGACGCCATGAAGCTATCTTTATGAGTCATCCAACCACAATACTAAATACATGTCAGCAAAGGAAATATTATCCGAAAAGGGAAAAATCCCTTTGATGTACTTCAGCATGCAGAGATTTCTGCGAGTTTTGGAAGCTCTGCACACTTGTAAGGGACGGTGTACACTTACACATTTTTTTTCCCTGCCTACTCCAAGCCTCACAGACCACCCATTGCTCAAAAACAGTTCTGGTCTTTCAGCGGCAAAGTGTGTCATTTGGTTTTAGCACATTCATTTGCTGGGCTGCTGTGTTTATCTTAAGGGAAGCCAAACTGAGAGATGAAATGTTACAAGGGTGAAGTACAAAGTAGACTCAATTTTTCTCAAGTTAAGAGATGCTGGTAATTTATAGCATGGCTTCAATTTTCATTTTTATGTAACAGTGGAAAAAATTAACTAAATGCGTAGCTCTGGGAAGAAAGAGAGGGAGAAGAAGAGGAGGAGAAGGAGGAGGAGGGAAGGAGAAGAGGAGACACAAAGGGGAGAGTTTTTGTCAGATATTCATAGAAGGCCAAGAAAACCGTTCTGCTTAGCTAGCAGTGCCCTCCTGAGACAGGGTGGCAGTAAGCGAGGAAAATAACAAGATAAATGAAATTTTTGCAGCTGCTAGTAAAATATTGAGAATCTGCACTTTTTTATTGATCTTTATGATCCTGTTGCCAAGAGCCACTTTGCGGTGACAAAATATGTTGACAAGTGCATATCTCACTGCCATGAAAAATGTGGTAGAAGATTCTCCTTATGTCTGCAGTGTTATACAAGGAACAAATTGCATTGCTACAGCCAATTCTTTATAGAAAGTCTAAATTTAAGGCCTACCAACCCTAAACACTTTTATCTTGAACTTCAGAATAATGTTTGTAGCAATTCTTCACTCAGAAAACTGGTTGAGGCCTAACAATTTTTTTTTTTTTTTCTGGTCTGTAGATGTTTTTCTGCCTTACATAAGCTGTTATAAAAAATGGTCATTTCTTGGTACTTTGACTGTATCATTTTGGTATGTAATCCTTCAGCAAGAGTGGACTGCTCTTCTTGTATGTATTGAATTTCTATCCATCTCACAGGAGTGTGTTTTACTGTTCCATGTGAAGCACGAGGGAAAAGCCACTGCAAACTGATAACATTTCTGTTTTATCTTGTGCCTGATTCTAATCTTACACAGTTTTTACTACCATGTAAATCTGTTAACTGTAGAAGTATTACTCTGAAGCTATTTACATCAGTGCAAGATTAGAATAAGGCTCTTGTTTTTATGCTAAAGACACTAGGATTTTTCCTTTTTTTTTTCCCCCATCTGTTCCCACTTCAATGGTCTAGAAATACCCACAGTCTTTTATCACAGGAACAATATGATATCACACTTATGGTAACACTAATTTATGCTTACTGGAGGATCATTGACATTGCCTTCACATTCCATATATGGGAAAATTTTATGATTGAATGTTCTGATTAACCCAAATTTTTTATTTCCCCTAAGCCAAAGTCTATTTTTCTCAACAATCCAAAATCTCTTTTTTGGTGGTATATTGCTGCAATGAAAGGTCACTTCACACTACTTCAAACCTCTTGCTGAAAGAACTTATTCACATAAAAGAGCTGTGGTCCATTTCCCCATAAAGGATGTTAACTTTAGCTTAGATGACAAATGCTAAGCTGTTTAAGTGGCTGTATTTGGTGAACTGTGTGCACCACTCTGATGCCTATAATGCATAAAAAAACATACTGTTTCTAAAATCACTTTGAAAAAAATCACTTTGACATCGCAAAAAAATACCTGTATTTTCTTAAAATCTTGGTCCTTCTAAAACCTAGCTGATTAACATATGCTTGGTACAAAGTGCCTGTAAGGTCTTTTTTAGCCTGTGCAACAGCAATAAAATCCTTCTCTATTACAGATTTACTTTTGAAATAAACAGTAACTTATTCATTTAGTTATCTGCAGAAATGCTTCCAAAGCAATGAATTTCTACTATAACACTGTGTATGATAACAGAAGAATACTCTATTCCAAAATCAGGCTTTTTTTTTCTTTTTCTCTTGATTAGGTCCAATATATTCTACCGGGCTTGTATAGATATTCCCAGGGGCACTGAGCTGTTGGTGTGGTACAATGACAGTTACACATCTTTCTTTGGAATCCCTCTCCAGTGCATTGCACAAGATGAAAATTGTAAGTTCTTCCTTGTATTTTTACCTCAATAAGCCATAATTCCTGTTTCATGCCTGATGAGGTATATTTCTAGAGTGTTTTAGAGGGTGGCCCATCCCTGGAAGTGTTCAAGGCCAATCTGGATGGGACTTTGAGCAACCTGGTCTAGTGGGAGGTGTCCCTGCCCACAGCAGGGGAGTTGATGATCTGTAAGGTCCCTTCCAACCCAGAGCACTGTATGATTCCTTGATTCTCTGATTCTGTGATGTTAAATGAAAGCAGTTTACATTTAAAGTAAGCTGATACACTTCAGCTGTGCAAAATTATGGTATGAATCAACCTTCCACAGAAGTGATTAACTCCTAATGTATTGTTAATCGATTTGCTTGGTCCTCTCCATTGTTACTAGACTTATCATAAGACACTCTCTTCCCAAAACAGTAATAGATTGCAGGCCCAGAGGGCCTCTCTTAGTGATTCTTTGTTCTGTTACCACTGAACATGTTGAGAAAAGCTTTGACTTACTAATTGTAGAGGTTAGATCCTTGTAGTTAGATGCAAAAAACTGCTTCTCTAAATACAAGCTGAATGCAAGTAAACAGAAACAACGAACATTCCATCCTGCCAATCCCCATTTCCATCCATTCTTCTACCCCTTCTCAATATTTTATTTTTTTGTTCACTAGGAGTCCTCACAAATCATGCAATTTATAACACAGACCTGATCTAGTGCTAGACACATTCGTCTGTAATGGGAATGGGTGCTCCAGGCACACCCTTCAGTTTTACTGCTTGTGGGTGGAACTTGATTAGAGCTTGCATCCATTTTGACAGCTGTGTGTGTCTGTGTGGTAGAAGAAACCAATAATGGGCACCTGATTGACTTTGGTCTAAAATAACCCTGTGACTGCCCACTCTTAATCAATTATATATAAGATGTATATTTTTGGTCAAGTACTTGGATACTTAAACAGGATGAACTGCAAGGATGAACTGGTGTCTTGTAGCAACTTAAATACTGAACATCCAGCAATAAAACAGCAAGATATCAGAGATTAAACTGTCAAAAATAAACATCTTTCTTCATCTTGAGTTTTCAAATCTGTTGGGCTTGAGAGAAGTTTAAAAGAAATTTAGTTACTGGCAGTAATATTTGCTGATAAAACTCATGCTCTGCGGTGTACAATACAGAAATATTATTTTTTCTTTCATGAGCTGAAGCCTACAAAAACTTTATTTGAAAAGAAAAACATTATGGCTAAAAGCTCTAAATATTGCCAGTTGCTATTTTGCTGAGAGAGAAACCAGAGTTTCATCCCCAGAGACACTAACATGAGTAGATGAAATTAATCTCTGACCATGTAGCCAGCTGCATATGACTTAAGTGCCATTTAAACTCTCAGAGTACACCTTCTGCTGATCTTCTGCTCAGGGGGTATATTCACCTACACAAACTCTCCTTAGGTCTGATCAGGCACCCTGATCTTATTGCTTCTGTGGACTTTCATGAATACAATTAAAAGAAAAGGAAAAAAAAAGTGATCTGCTGCTTGAGAGTGTGTTGGGGCAAAATGGAAGTATACAAATTGCTCCCTGTACAGAAGACACATAGAAGATGTATTATATATTTGGAAACCAGTAATAGACAGCCCCACAGATGTCACTCTACTTAGAAATTAGGTTCTCAGATACTCCAAAAAAGAATAGATTAGGAATGACCTCAAGTGACATAAACTAAATAGCTTGTCATATTATAAAATTGGAGTCATTATGATTGATGGAAGAAATTAGAATATAACTCTAAGTAACTGGCATGATTTAAGATATTACAAAATCATTAATTTGTATCACATTTTCGTTGTATCTTAGATAATGTTGGATGATTCCAGCTCACAACTGAAATTTAATTCTCATATTTTCTCTTAGAGATCTGTCATCATGACTAACCGAAACCAAGCTGGAGTTTTTAATCAACAGTTTAGTACATACTACGGACCTAGTTATAGATAGAAACATTTTATGACAGTAACTAAATAACATAAATAGGCATATATGTATCAAACATATTTAGTTTAAAAATTTACATCAAAATATTATCTCCTGAGACTGAGTGGGCCAAAATTAGAAAGCATTAGAAGTTATTTGGCCCAGACTGCCTAAATTATGTTTATTTTTGCATTGGGGTACAAGCATTTGTTAGCTGACTACTTTTCCACAGGATCCTTGCTTCATTCATTGAATGACCTACATGGGACTCAAGGATTGAGGCAGCTATTCAACTTTCTTCTACATGCTTGGCCTCTTGCTTTCCTCATCATGCAACATTCAAATTCAGCACTAAAAAATTTCTTTGTGCATTTGTTGCTGAAATATATGAATGCCTCATAAGCCATAGTTAACTGATGATCATAAGACCTTTGTGGTACTGGAAATGTTTTTTTTTTTAACCTATTTTGTGTGCAGGAAATTGATGCACAAAGATAGCTCTGCCTATACTTCGTGTTGTCTCTCAAAATTCATGCTTGTCTGTAATATAGCAGTCAGACATACTGATTGCAATATACAGAGTCAGGGTGTCATAAGTGCAGCAACATTTTTTTTCAGATGACAATCCCACTGTGTAATAAATGTGTATCACAGTCAGGCTTCACTTGCTCCTTTCAGTCTCAGACACTCCTTTGCATGACTTTTCATTTCAGTGTCACAGAATCAGAACCATCCTTTCTAATTCAAACATTTTTTTTTTCTTTCTGTGCATGATTAAAATAAATTTGTTTAATTGTAGTGTCAAGAAAATGGATGTTGATATTTTTTTGGTCTCTTCCAAAACTGTGTTAGTTTTAAAAAGGCATAAAAAAGATCTTATTTACTTTTCTTCTTTTCTCCCAGTGAATGTCCCTTCGACTGTAATGGAGGCCATGTCCAGACAAGACACCCTACAACCATTTAATAAAAGTAGCAAACTATCCCCTGCCACTCCACAGCGATCCATAGTATTTCCACAGACTCCATGTAGCAGAAATTTTTCTCTCCTGGATAAGTCTGGGTCCATCGAGTCAGGATTTAACCAGATCAGTGTCAAAAACCAACGAGTTCTTGCAAGCCCAACTTCAACAAGCCAACTAAATTCTGAGTTCAGTGACTGGCATCTTTGGAAATGTGGGCAATGCTTTAAGACTTTCACCCAACGGATCCTCTTACAGATGCATGTGTGTACACAGAACCCTGACAGGTAAAGCCCAGACTCTCTTTATTTCTGTATCTACTGATAGCCAGATTCACTGCTTTCTTCTTTTACCAAGCTGTTATCATTTTCAAAACCAAGCCATTATTACAAGGACTCCATATGACATAATTCATCTGCAGCTCTGTGAAGTAAGCTGATAAAAAGTATTGCTTGACTTCACTATTTGTAAAAACATTTGGTGCCTAAATGTGCAGATAAAAGGAAATAGCTAAGGATATAATCTTGTTTTCAGAATGGTTTGGTACATCTGATGGAGGCAACAAAATAGAATGAAAATTTATGAATATCATAGATGGAAAAAATGAGGTCAAGATAATTAAAAGTCTCTCTGTCTTCCAAAGATAATCTAACTTGCTGCTCAGTGGCTGTCACAGTCATTTCAGGGTTCACCTATAGTGTGCAATGTGTATGAACTTAATTAAGTACTAAGAGGTAATGAATTGGAATTTTTTGCTTAGTACTATTTTTCTTCATAGCACGCAAACCCATAAATCGTATAAAGCTGTCAAAAGGAAATACCTACTCCACTAGTGATGTGGAGGAAAACAGATGCCACTTATTCAATAAACTAATATCCACACAGAAGAAAAATGTTGACTAGATACCTCAGAGTCAAAGTTGGTTTGAAAGTTTGTCAATACAGAATTTTATGGCTGTGAACTGAGGATGAAATTTAGCTGAACAAGTGAATTAAAATTTCAGGTACTCTGACCGGTGGCACAGTAAATATAATGGAACCATTATTTATGAATCAAAGCTGGTTTATTTGACAATTTTGATAGCTGGCAGGACAAAAGACAAAAATCAAATTAATTCAATAAAAAAGGCTGCCCATGTTTTGTCTCTTCTTCAACTGTGAAGATTTAGAACAACCTTCCAGTTGAATCCCTGGAAGGTTGTTCTAAAAGCAGCATTTAATTGTGAATTACAGTTAACAAAAATACTACCAAAAATAGCAAAGAGTGAGTCTGTGCACGTGTTTGTATGCATGTCTGTGTCTCTTTGTGTATGTGGTTATCTAAGTGTACACATATGCTTGTGTGATTCTTGGGTGTGAGGGTACTAGACAATAAATCCATTTTTCTGGAAGAAATGTAAAGCATGGGCAAAGATTCCATTGCAAATCTTCATAAAAATAAAGAATTGATAATACTGTAAATGTATACAAGCCCTTTCAACATTTTCTGAATTTTATGCTGGCCTTAGCAGAAACAAACGCCCTTGTGAGGAATTCCTAGAGCTGTGGGACACAACTACTGATTTAAGTGTCACAGTGTAGAATATCTGTCTCCAAAGGTTCACTCTCCTAAATTTCATGGACTCTCATGTTTCCAGTATTACATCCTAAGCATAAAATGGTGCAATCATCTAGAAGAGTCTAGAGTCTAGAAAAGAAGTGGATGAGGCTTTTCACATATTTTTCCAGTGATTCATCCAATTAGGTGTGACACCTAGATTTCGTCCTTTCCTTTACTTGAGCCTGTGTCTTCCTTTATGAGGAGAGAAATTGCAGATAATAGTTAATTAAAAAAGAATCTCACTAAAAGGGTCTGTTCTTCATTTTAAGTGCCAGTGAAATACTCAATTTGTCAGAGAAGGAAAATGAGGATAATTTTGTCTTACTATTAGATATTTCATCTTGGAGTGAGGGATCTTGGAGGTGAGAGATTTAATTTTTTGAATGAATTTTATTTATTTTTATTTATTTTCTCCTAAATATCTTGTGTCAAATAGTGTCTGAAATACACACTGGTTTCAGGTCTTCCCTCTTAGAAGTGAACCTTGTCATTAGTAGGGTACAGATTCATGATGTCTTACCATTTAGTCTCTCCTGTGCCTTCAAAAAGAAAGTGTGAAACATTTTAGTTCAGAATGTCCTAGAGCATAGTAGGAACATTATCTTGCTATGTTTAAAGTCACTATAACTCATGCTATGTTTGAAATTACTGGAATAACAGTTACTGCAGATCATAACTACCCTAGGATCAGGGATCTCATATCTGTGGCTAAATCATTACACATTGAGTTTACATCACAGACAGCTTTTTGTCTTTTAACAGAGATCAGCAAATCACTTATTTAGGGATACTGCATCTAGAAAAAATTGTCTTAGGTTTCTTAAACATATTCCATTCCTTTAGATGAAGACTTCCTTAAGAGTTGTACAAAATTTCCAGGAGACAAGAAAATAAAGTATGATTTGTGAAAGAATACCTGCTTGCCACCCTGAAGTACTGGATGCAGCTCTCTGGTTTGTATTTTCTCAAGGGTATCTGCAGCATCTCTCCAGCCGATAAACAACTCCCCATTTATTGTCAGCAATTTGTGAGCACACCAGTCACTGCATCTTTGATGTGACTGAAGCAGCAGGGCCTGTCATCTCTAGGAAGTAACTTTAGACTATCTGTTCTGGTTTGGTATTTGTTCTTCAAAAATGCTGATTACCTACAGCATGAGGTGCAGGGAAAACATCTTTGAATCTATACAGGAATCCAATTCATGGTCTGAAATCTGAGGAAAGCAGATCACTTGAGAATCCAAATAAAGATATTACAAGTTAGTTCCAGAAAGAATCTGAATGAGAGTAGACATAAAATGGGCCTAATATTCTTAATTCAACTAGGCAGTAAGAAATAAATGGTCCTATTTAACAGGTAGATAATATAATAAATAAAAATAATTAAAAAATATTAATAATCCAAAATAGGGGGAAATATTAAAATTATTTGCTGTGTTCTCTGTTTTAGCTTAAGATTAGGATTTTAATTTAAACCAAATTTAAAATTTTTACTGGTTTACTTTTATTTTACTTCTCACTTTCCACATAGATTTTTTTTAGCTTGTTATATTTTTTAGGGCGTGTCTTTGAACTGAACGGTAAAGGAAGTTGCAGTGGACGTGGGAGGTGGAGATTTAAATCCATCAAGTCTTGAATTCAGGGACTTTCTGAGCGAGCGTTTGGGATTTTTTTAAGCCTTGACTAGACAGAAACACTTTGAGAAACTATTTCTTGAAGACAAAGTCAGAAATCTATTTTCATGGGGATTTTTTTGGTTTATGTTTTGGTTTTTTGTTTTTAATTTTTTATTTATTTATTTCCTCCCTTCTGCTGCAGCAGTCCTATTTGAGGGGCTCAAAAAAGGGGTAATCAAAACTCTTTATCATAGTGAATAATACTTAGAGCAGTTATTTTTTTGTTACTTTTTTAACAGCAACCATTTTTCTGATAATGATGCAATCTTTTTTAACAACACGGCTCTTCCATCTCACTATGATCACCAGATTCAGAACACACCGGTGTTGAGGGAAGGCAGATGGCTGCAGTTCCCAAGAGCTCTCTGAGGCACGTTTTCATATGTAAAATGTACATCTGTGTGGTATATATTCTCACTGATTGCCATGTATTCAAGCTGTTAATTTGAGGGAAAGCCCACTCTCATAGTGTGTCCATGGCTGGTAGATTATGGCTGTGATCTGGCACTCACAGTTCTTGTTTACTAAAAAGGTAACACGTTTTGCTGTAGCAACTCAATGTTAAAGGGCTTTTTGAGGGCTTGTTTCTTTCTTTGTTTTTTGTTTCGTTTTGTTTTGTTTTGTTTTGTTTGTTTTTTGTTGTGGTTGGGTTTGGGTTTTTTGTTTGTTTTGTTTTGTTTTGGTTTTGGTTTCTTTTTAAACAGGAACTTGACATTACTGATTTAATAGTCTTTTTCTCTAAGATTGTGGTTCAGTCCACTTTGTGTTTATATTTTTCTTTATAGGTTCTGTGCCTTTGACCTTGGTGTTCTTCCAAAGTCCATTAATTAATTTGAACATCTCCAAAACAGACTTAGAAAAAATAAATGCTGTGAGCAAGCATTGCCTCTCTCTGTTAATTGAGTATTTCTCAATTGAAGTAACTTTGTGCTTAATTTAATGCTTGTTCTTGCATAATTTTTTTATAAAGGTTTGCAAACTCCCAGTACTCAAAGCTAATAACAATAATGGGTGTCCAGAGCAGCAGCTCTCCCTGACAGCTTCACATTTTTGCAAATGCTTCAAGTGCGCCGGCTTTCTGCTTTTGCTAGTTTCTTCACAAACATTTGTAACTGAGCAACAAGAGCTCCCAGCGGGTCCAGCTCTGCCATCCCTGCTGCTGTTTGGTGCCTGAGGTGCTCGGGAAGCAGCTGTGCTGACTAAGGGGAAAACCAAGGCAGCAGGGGATGTGGAGTCCAGGGAAGGTAGCCCACCCATGGCCCCACTGATGCTAGGGATGTTTCTGTGTGCAAGTTAGCAGTGTTCTGAGGTATCACTTTGTTCTCCTGCTGTAGTTCAACTTGCTCGAAGAAGGCATTCCTCAAAAATAGCTTTCTGTGAGAATAGCTGTGACCTAACTCTGCTGAGTGCAGCTGTGCTCTTAATGCTGCATGTTGTACCAAGGCATGGTCCTGAAAGCTGGTGTTGGCACTGCTTCAACATGGCCTGCTTTTGGTTTTTTGCAGAGGCTGTGGTGTCGTAGCCTTCCCCCTGTGTGAAACCCTGTCCTGAGATCAATGGAGTCCTGTGTCCCATGCCTTGAGACCCTGAGATCGATCATCACTCCTAAGCTCAGGAATAATGCTTCCCAGCAGAGAGGAAGTCAGGCAGAATCACCAGAAGTCCTGAATGGATGAACAGGGAGCTATGTGATTAATTCAAAGATAAATAGAAGCCCACAGAGAGGATGGAACCAAAGACAGGTAGTCTGTGAGATATACAGTTGGATTGTCCAAGCAGTCAGCAATCAGCGTAAGAAAGCTGCAGCCACGATCAGTTTAAGAAAGCTGAACCCTTCAATGTGGGCAGGGACATGAAGAGCAACAAAGGCTTCTGTAGTTATGTTGGTGATAAAAGGAAGATTAGGAAAAATGTGGGGCCTCTCTGGGACGAAGCAGGAGGCCTGGTGACCTGGGACATGAAGACAGTTGAGGTAGGCAATAACTTTTTTTGCCTTAGCCTTCATTGGGAATAGTTCCATCACACCACCCATGTCACAGGCAAAGAAAGGGACTGGAAAAATGAAGAATTGCCAGCTGTAGAAGGAGATCAGGTTGGAGGCCATCTAAGTAACTTGAAGGTGCACAGCCCTAGAGGACCTGATGAGATGCATGTATGGGTCTTGAGGAACAGGTAGATGAAGTGGCTAAGTCATTACCTATGGCTAAGTCACTATCTATCATATTTGAGAGGTTATGGTAGTCCAGTGAAGTTCTCACCGTCTGGAAAAGGGGAAACATAACCCTCACTGTAAGAAAGGAAGACCTGGAGCCAGCCAGTCTCACCTTGGTACCTGTCAAGAATGTGGAGCAGATCCTTCAGGCAACTGTGTTAAGGGACAGGGAAAATAAGGAGGTGGCTGATGACAGCCAATATCAAGAGCTTCAGTAATAGTCCAACTCTGCAACTTCCAACATAACAAGAATGTGGATCTGCTGGAGACATTTATGAGGAGAATCCTAAAGATGATCAGAGAGATGAAGACAGGCTGAGAGAGTTCAATTTTTTCAGCCTGGAGAAGAGAAATGTTCAGGGACACCATATAGCAGCCTTGCAGTACCCATAGGGGCCTGCAAGAAAACTAGAAAGAGACTTTTTACGAGAACATGTAATGATGGAAGAAGGGATAATGGATTTAAACTGAAAAAAGGTTAATTTGGATTGGATGTAAGAAAGAAATTCATTATTTGAGGGTGGTGAAACACCAAAACAGTTTGCCCAGTGAAGCTGTGGATGTCCCATCTTGAGAAGTTATCAAGGCTAGGTTGGATGGGGCTTTCAGTGAAAGGTGTTCCTGCCCATAGCACAGGGGCTGAAACTAGATGATCTTTAAGGTCTCTTCCAACACAAATCATTCTAGAATCAAGTTGGTTTTTTAGTTCTTAGTCTTAATTCTTAGTCCTCAATAAGGAGAAAAGCACTTTCAAACACATGCCAGTCTCTCTTCTTTCCACTGGTGCTTTTCCAGTTGTTTCTAAAGGAAAAGAATTACAGTACTGTAATTAACTCCCTGATCTGGGAGTGTTTCAATGATAAACTTACAAGTACTCAGGAACTCACTATTACAGCAATTTCTATGAATTGCACTAGGATTACATATGCCCCTTGAAAAGACCAAATTCTTGTCTGAAAAGGCCTCACTAGAAACCTGTTCATCATAAGAGAACTAATTTAAAAATTCAGTGGAAAATAATGATAGAATTTTTCAGAATAATTTAGGGAATTAATAATTTATGATATATAAATTTCTAATGGATAGTTATATTTGGGAATCAGAAAGTGGAAAGCATATTGTTTTAGCAGAGGAATAATACAAGATAAAAAAAGCTATGTCACTTTTGCTAAATGAAAATATAAAAGGATCAATCTGAATGTACTGTATCAATTTGTTTGTCAGTAGTTGTTCCAGGTGCATAGATATGGGTTTTCTTTGCTTCTCTATTAATACACTTTGTGCATGTTAAGGGTTCTATATACCCTGCACAAAGCCTGAGCTTTGTTGAGGCTCAGTAAGCCTCACATGGGAACACACATTTTGTACTGGTCCCATACATGATGTAGTTTCACCTAGAAAAAAAATCAGCTACAAATGTGATAAAATTGTAAGACAGGAAAACATATCACTAAGGAGCAAAATCATTCAATATATTGTCTAGGTTAGAAAGCAAAATTTATTCCTTAGTATTTTCATTTTGTAAATGTGACTTGCAAAACTTGGGAAAGCTCAAAATACAAATAACTACAAAACCTGAAAACTATTACATTAGAGTTGCTCTCTGAATTTCGCTTTAAATGGTCTGTGTTCCTATCATGGGCGACCATATAGTCAGAGACTGTAGGGTTAGAGTCTCTAGAAAAAGTTGGATTCTGTCTTTCAGCAAAACTAGATAGCTGATCAATGATGCAGGGGATTAATGACAACAGTGTAATTCCTTCAACAGCAGAATTTACTTCTAGGTAAGTAGATTTCCTATCTTCAATCTCAAAAGGAAGGTGTAGAGCTAAAAAAATAAGTAGCTAGATGATTAATAAAAAACCTTAGAACTGCTTTTGGTGGCTGTCAGAACAACATTCTCATCTCCACATTGCTATACATCAGTTTGGCTGTTCTTAAATGTACCTTAAAATTACTACATGAGAAGATTTTGATTCACAGGATATCCTGAAGCTCAGAAGGTGTGATAAGTTCTTGGTTCTTTCAGTGGAAATTAGTTTTTCTGAGCTAGGAGTGCATTCAGTCTCGTAGCAGATCTTTGAAAGTACAGCTTATGAAGACCAACATTTCTGTCACTGTGTCCCTTCTGTCTGCAAAACTCTGTCACAAAGAGGTCACCATCCTAATTCATTGTCCTGGTGCAGACCAAAGTGATGGCAGAAGACATAACTGCTACATCAAAGGCAGGCGTGCTCTGCCCATGTCAATGTACTCACTGAACCGAGCACTGCTCATGTTCAGTCCTTCTGCACCACTTTCATTTTTTTTGAAAACAACATATTGATTTTATTTTCTTCCAAGAAAAATTTCTGAGCTCAGTAAAATGGTTACCAGAGAACAAAATGATAACTTTTATACTCACTGAATGACTTTTTTTGCTCTTGGAAAAGTAGTAGTATCCAAAAGTTGTCAAAAGTTGGCATACTTAAATATGCATTCATACATATTAGAGTATTTTTAAACTATTACTGTATTTGAATGTATTTATCAGCTCTCTTTTTAAAATGAGCTTTCTCTAATATGTGTCATGTATCTAAGCTTTAAAAAAATTACTCATTTTAGTATTAATCAGAATCACCTCTTATAAACTGGAGAAAGCATCCCCTACAAGAAGAAGGGTGACTTCTTTAATATTTTTTATCCCAAGATGTGGATGAATGGAAAAAATACAGTCAGGGTGATCTAACAATAGGTGATTTCTTACAGGGTTTATTTTCTTGAGCATCAGCCAGTGATATGTATTGAGTATTTTGTAAAGAAGCCATTTATTTTGAGCCAATATAGGGGGTGAACCCACATTGCTTAACATCACAACATTCAGTTACAACTGGTTTGGAATTTTGACTGTTTACAGACAAGTTACAGTGTGAATTTTCACTGTGTGAAATTAATCACATTGACTGTTAAAAAAATAAAAGATTAATTGGTTTTATATAGTGTTTCTTGTGGTAGCTGTTAAAAATAGATAACCAGAGGCTAATAGATGTTAATGGTCCGCTTCACTATTAAAAAAAATCAATGTTTCTTGGATACAGAAAATATTATTGCATTATTTTGCTTATAAGTGTTTGATATGAAAATATCCAAACAAGTAAGTCTGCATTCAAAAAGTCACCTTTGTTTTACCAGCTTTTAAAATTTCATGCTAAATTTGAACAATATTTTCCATGCAAAAAAACTTCGCACTTCAAGAAAGGAGAAAACTAGGCATGTTACTATTTGCCTTTCAATAAGAGAAACAGATAATCAGTTTTTATTATTTTCTTAATATATTATTTTACATGTATTTGTGTATTTTTAAGGGCCATATTATCTAAGTTACCTTTCCACAGCTATTATATATTACTTTTAAACTTGTTGGAGAGTAGTTAGATTTTCAAATGCAAGTAATTAAAATAGTGAGCTATTGAGTTATTGATGAATACTGAGCTATTAATCAAGCTAAAAAATTCTACAATCAGGGTTCAGTGCTCTGAAGCACTGTAAAATAATAGTATTTGTGTTCAGTGATGCAAGTAGCCACAATTAAGCAGTTCACTTGACAAATGAGATAGTTCACTTTATTTTGCACTTAATTGAATTGTACATGCTTGGTCACCATTGTCTCCTTCCCTTTACTTTTGGTTTCTAGCCATTTAAACATACACATTTATTAAAGAGAGAGTAATTAAGTTGAGTTGGCCATTGGCTCTGGAAATGCAGATATTAAGAGTAAAAATCTTGTGCAGGGTAAAAATCATTATTATCCCTCTAGAAAAAAAAAAACCACCTTACTTTTTAAAGAAAAAGTTGGATAAGCATTTAGGACTCTGCCACAAACTTAAAACAAATGTGAAATGGAAAAAACCCCTCTGGGATGTTGATATTAAATCACTATTACCAAGCAGAAATATAAAGACATTGTTTCTTCACATTTTATTTTAGTTACCATTTCAGCAGATCTGTCTCACATTACTGTCTTGTATCCTTTTCTTTCTGTGTCTACAGTCGTCTTATTAAGATTCCCAATTTGTAACATATCACTTACTTTTGTTTGTTTGTTTGTTATGTTTGCTTTTAACAAACTGTGGCATTGAAAACCCAAGTCCTGTGTTTCCTTCCAAGATCCCAAAAAAAGGTATTTTTAGTCTGGATGGGAGAAACATGTTAATAAAATGCAAATATTTTTAATAGAAGTAGGAAAATAGAAAGATAGTTGTAACATAGTGGTTACTTTTTCCAATGTCTCTTACTGAAATACGTGATCTCAAAATCTACTAGATTCCTCCAAGAATTTAATTGCAAACAGCTACAGAATACAGGTAGAATGCAGGCGTAACGATGAGATATTTGTAGGTAAGACTATAGCTGGCACCAACAGACAGGGTTTCATGAGACAATTGCTTTCAAAGTGTGAGGACTTTTTTATGATTGAGGAGTACCATGCTTTGTTTGAGAGAATTAAGGCAGGCATACAATCTGTAGTGCAGGGTGAGTAGCTTGCTGAATTATGTTTTGTGGAGCATGATGCCCCTGGACTCTCAGTTAATTCCTGTATAAGAATTTTACATTTGTTGAAAAGGTCATGAAGTTCTGGGTATGTTTCTCCCAAGAAAGACCCAGAGAAGTGCACCTGCAGTTCTCTTTGAAAGTCACTGGGAAGATCAGTGGTTCCATATCGTTTCCTGAGCATGTCAACAAAAGGCACTGATGGCGTGCTGTTTCTTTCTCCCACTGCAGGCCCTACCAGTGTGGTCACTGCTCCCAGTCTTTCTCCCAACCTTCAGAGCTGAGGAACCACGTAGTTACGCACTCCAGCGACAGGCCTTTCAAGTGTGGCTACTGCGGTCGTGCCTTTGCTGGTGCCACAACACTCAACAATCACATCCGGACACACACTGGGGAAAAGCCCTTCAAGTAAGTACTTGAAGCCAGCAGCCTTTGCCAGCTGAGATTAGAGAGGAAAATTTATTGCTGCTGCTCAGTAGCATCCCCAGCTCTCGGCAGAGGTTTTCTTGAAAGCCAAGACTACCAGATAAAACAGGTAGTGGTGAAGCTAAAATCAGAACTAAAACAGATTTGATTTTGGGTTCCTTGACAGCCCTGAACAATTTTCCATTCTCCGATGAGATCTTGATTGTTTTAATTAAGTGGCAAGCTGCTGCCTGAGAACCACGGTTGAAAATACCATGAAGACTGGGACAGGTCATGCTGTAAGAACATTAATACAATTCCTAGATGTCTGTAGGTTGAGGCAGATGGAACTTCAAGTTAAAGCTAATTTGACTCTGGTTAAATATGGGGGAGAAGTGTGCATCTTCTTTTAGTCACAGAATCATTGCATAGAAAATGCAACTCTGACTTGAGACATAAGTTTTGTAAGATCATAGTAGTAAATTGATAGTGCTCAGCTTTCCAAGATGTATAAAAAACCCCTAACCTGGTCAAGACAGTTCTTAATTAAACATACTTTGCCTATTTCTGCAGTTTATGCTTACTGAAATTTAAGCTAAGCACACCCCTGAGTCTCAGAAATTTTTCCCCTATGCTCACCTCCATCTACAGCACAGTTGATCCAGGCTTATTTTACCTTGTTGTGCAAGACTGCCTACTTAACAGGAAGTGTTCTGCAAGACAGAAGAAATACTTCCCATATTTGTATCTTTTTCTTTGCTGAATTGGCAGACCCAGATTGTACATATATTGTACCTAGAACAATCCCTCTCGGGAGGAAAAATAATATATCAATATCAACATATAATGTATTGATATTGTTTCTTTTGGAACCTGCCTGAATGTTCCTAGGAAGAATGGGAATAAGTGTAGAAGAGGGTGTGTATCTCTCCCAGTTCTCCAAGTGCTGTCTGTTCTGTCTACTTTTCTCCTTTTGTCTTTCTTTTCTACTTTTGCCATACTGTGCTTTCTGTCTGGTTAATGTAAGAGAGCTCAGTTATAGGGCCTGTCAGAACCCCTCATAACAATCCCGACAGAGATACCGGTGGACAGGCTTTGCCTCTATATATGGTTGGAACAAAGAATGGCCTCCATCCATGTCTTTGCTGGCAGCAGGGGGACAGAGCTGGAACAAAATGCTGCATATCCAGTACAGAAGAGGTTGCACAGCAAAAATCATGGCTAGGATAGTGTTGTAGGAGGCAAAACATGGAAACTCAGAACATCTAAATATTGACTTCTCTTGAGCCAGTATGTAGGATGCTCAGAGCCCGTAGAAAGTGAACCAAAAATGGTGTGAGCAATCAGATTGATTTTATCTAGTTGCTCTGTAAATAGATTTTAGTAATTAATGGAAGAGGTTTCCGGGTCAAAATGGAAAATAGATTTCGTTTAATGTTAATGTGTTACTTATGTGTAACCTTGTTGACTCCACTTAATTTTTTTCCTTAACATCCTGTTTTTGTCATGTTTCCAATAGACCTGCTATTTTGCCCCATTTAGAGTCATTATTTTTCCCCTTTGGTTTAGCAATTTTTTTTCCCCTTTTCCAAAATGGTCTTGATTACAGCACAATTTCATCTGTGAAAGGGCTTAATGCATGCACTACAATTAACCAGTTGTCTGGGATTTGTTTGGGTTTTTTTGTTGTTTTGTTTTGTCCTGCTTATGTGGAAGTATTTAAATATTCCAGGATGGATCCACCTATTTTTAAAGTTGCAGGGCAGAGGAACAAAAAATGTATGCTCTGTACTGCTTCTTTATGATATCCGGCATAATTTCAATCTTGGAAGATGTTTATTTAGTTTCTTCCTTAAGCTCAACAAACAGTGCCAATTTCTATCTGTAAGACTTGTTGAAGTACTCACAGTAAGCTGACTAGTAATTTCACATGAAGCTAAAACTGGAGCTGCAGATCTTCCCATCACTGCTAGTCAGATAAGAGGGCACATGTGCCTTGATCCTGCAAGCTGTACAGAAGGGCAGATTTGCCTCCCACGCAGGACTGCTTGCATTTGAGAGAGGAGGGGCAGAAAACTTATGCAGAAACTGATCTACACTCTCTTCTGGAAGAAAAAGAGAGAGCTGCAGCTCATCTTGATGTCTTATCACCATTTAGATTCTCTTTTGAAAAAGGGGTTCATGAGACCAGGTAGTAAGAAAGTTTGGAAAAAAAGTCCTCAACAAACTCTAGTAAAAAAAGAACTATAAATGGGACAAACAAGATTTCTGACTCTTGATCATGCAATGTAGTTTTTAAGTATTTATTTACAATGGAATTTAGAGTGTACACTTACCAAAAAAAGTGTGAGATGGAAAAGTTCATTGAGATACGATTTTTGTACCTCAAAAAATCTGTATTTGTGTTGGTGCACACACTTCTGTTGACTAACAATTTTACTATTAGAAAGAATGACCATGCGTGGATAGTGATAAATTACTTAAATTCTAGCTGTTATTTTAAAAATAACAGGCATAATTTTGAAGGTGTTCCTAAATTAATTTCTAAATTTGCTCTTGCTCTGAATGCAATCTCATTATTTCTAATTAAGTAAGGCAGTTAGTTTGTAAGACAAATTACAGTGAGTGTGGATTAAGCTGACAATCTTAAACACTGAGTATGTTTGTATGCATATTATTTTCTCAAGTTGGTTTAAAAAATTGTGAACATGGGGTAACAGTGTCTAAAAATATTTCAAAATAATTGTGGTGTAAGAGGAAGTTTGTGATTGGTTACAAAACTTATTCTCTGAGAAGGTGTTTTCTTTGTAGGTCCTAGGTAACTGGATATATGGTGGAAGACTTTTCTATTTGCTTTTCATTAAGATAACAATGCTAAGTGAGGTTATCTGTAGTCAAAGCTTTAGCCGCATTGCCTGGACTGCAGGTCCAGTTAGAAGGGATTTCTTTTCATGTCATCACAGGCTATCAAGCCAGCGTCAGCACTGTAAAGTTTTTGTGTATTCTTATCTTACTGAAGTCTCCACTATGGCTGCTAGTCTGGGAGCAAAGCTCTTAAGTAAATTAAAAGGTAGGAGAAAGAGGAAGATTATTTGTCACCTCCCTTTTCTTAAGTTCTTTTCAACACTTCCCACTTCCATTTCAGTAAAATTAAAAAATACTTAAGGGACTTGCCTGCAGAATCAGGGTTATGCAAAGATCTAATCTGCCAGATTCAAACAAAAAGAATTAGAGGAAAGATTCTTTCAGCTTGCAATAGCTCAGGTGTTTTTAATTTATTCTTATTGAAATATAGAACTGTGGAACAGTCATTTCAGGTTGAATATTGTACCTGCAGTGACATCTCAGCTTTACAATATTTTTTTGTGGTTTTGGTTTGGTTTTTTTTAACCCCTTCAAATGAATTTAAAATGTAGTGTTAAATGCTCTTCTTGAATGAAATCCTAAAGTGCTTATTTTGAAAGTATCGAATAAAGATTTCCCCCCTAAAATAGACCCTCATTTTCTTCCTTCAAAAAATTCCACAGAGGTTAACATAAATGTGCAAATTAAACCAATCCTATCTATAATCCTTAAAGCACTGTGAAGCAAACAAGCAGATCAGTGATAATGAGGGCTATCTAAGCAAAATCACAAAACAGAGTACTGTAGAAATATTCAAAACCTCTCGATGTTCTTTGTGAATATAAGAACAGTTCTGTTTCCACCTCCACTCAAGCAAATCATATAGGGAAACCCTATGGTGGATTGAAGTCCTGTGTTTGAGGGGATTGAATGCTGTAGTACATTGGTCCTTACAGTTACAGTGAAGGCACACACACATTGTAAAACACACATGGATCTAGTTTTCGTTGATGGTATCTAATTGTTTGAGGACTTTGGAATTCCTTCTTTGGATCTACATTGTGTCTGGGGCTGTTTAAATTACTCTCAAATGCCATCAAATGACCCCAATTGGAAATTAAGCTGTATCTCAGTTAATAGGTATCATTATTGGCAATACATGTATCTGCACTTGAGGCTTAACCAAAATTTGATATGTCTAGAAGTCAGGCTTGGGCTCATGGTGACTTTGTGGGTGATCACATGAGAGATGGACTCTTTTTCCTTTCTGACAGTTTTGACTACTGTTCAACTTTCCAACAACATATATATGGCTTATAGTACAGAAATATGCACACAAAAACCTACACACAAAGACTCATCGATCTCATAGGCTTATGGCAGTTGTTATTCTGCTATGTTGGGCTGGGAAAGAATGGTTGATAAAGGGAGAGAGTACATCATAATTCAAGAGAAAAATATTCCTGCTCTTCCTCCCATTCCTACCTACTGTGAGATAGTAATGCCGACTGCTATGACATTATTATCTTCACCTTTTCTATCACTTTGTATCCAGCAACAACTTCTGTGGACCATGTTGAAAAGAAGAGTCAGGAGCCTATTACAGATCTCTGTCCATAAGCCAGGTACTTATATATATGAAAAACTATAGTCCTGGAAACACCATCCACATCATTTGGAAGTGCCTAGACAATCCTCGGTACCTTGGGTACTAAAGGAACATCTGAAGGTTACCCAGGTACAAGAAAAAGACAGGGAAATCAGGCTTTATCCTAACTGGTGTCCAAGGGCTGTGTAAGCACAGACAGCAAAATCTGACCCTCATCAACATTTGGCATCCACATCCCTCCTATTCAAAGGGTGGATGCTTGTAGCAAGAGATTTATTCTTTTTCTGTTCTCTCTTTAGCATCCTTCTTTCCTGTGCCTTTCTGGTAGTGTATCAGAACAGCCTGTACCTGGGAAGTTAGAGCACTCATATGGCAGAAGAATCTTGTGGGTAAAGGGTGAGAACTTGCATTTTAAAGAAATACCGTAAGCCTTGCGCTGAGCTTTCAAGAGCATTGCAAGGTGGTGAGTGAATGCAGTGCCCAGCTCTAGCCTCCGAGATAAGCTCCAGAAAGGATAAGGAAGCCTGTCACAGCTTTGTGCCCAATGGTTTCAGTGAGTAACTTTGTCTCCATGACTGATGGTGCCTGGACACCCTGATGCCTTGTATTTCATTTATGTGGCCAGACTTTTACAGTAAGGTGTTGCCACATGTGATTTTGCAGGTTATTTTGCAACTGTATCACTTACAGCTTGGTTAGGCAAGGATTTGAGCCTCCTATTAGTCAGCAAACAAAGTACTTGTCTTTGTAGACATCAAAATAACAAAACTATCAAGTTCAAGTAGATGGTAATATCTCACACAGACTAAGTTAACCCTCCAGCCTTAAAATTGATTCTAATGCCTCTGTGATAGATATATATGTATGTATATAAAAATAATACAATAATTTGCAAGTTTGTCAGGCAATGAAATGTAGTATATTTTGACACACTCATCCAGTAACTAATCAGTTTTCTAATAAACAATCAGCAGTACACTAATGTGTCATCAGCACTTCAGGAGCTCTGGAGAGTGGATGATCTGCACATAGACGTTAATGAATACCCAAAAAATCATTAAGTAATCAATACTTCTGAGTTATTTTCATTGAGCTGATAGGTCTGATACATTAAAGCTGACACTTTACATTTGTCAAGATCACAGTGCAGTTTTTAACAGTGGAACAGGATGCTAAAAATATTCCATGAAAGACAATCAAAGAAACACAACTTAGAAGTGTTGACATTTTAGATTGGGACAGTAACGTGGATGAATGACTGGGTAATGTCTGTGCTAGATATTCCTGAAGAAGAACTTTATTAATAAAATTTACTAATGTGAAGAACACCCACAATTATGCATATGTAAATATCTTCCTTTTTTATTATAAGGAGCTAGGTCAGTTACAGTTTACAGTTCACTTTCTATCATTCACATCAGGAGAGAGAGAAAGATTAATATGACTTAAAGTCCTTTGTTTTCCTTACTTATCCTTTGAAGGTGAAGAAGTCATCGTTGTGATAATTTTATGATAATCTTCTTTGAAGATAAAACATCACACAATACCATCAAATCAAAGATGATTTTTGGAGAAAACACAATACAAGAGGAATATGCTGCATCCATATTCGTAACTCATCAAACACCCCTCTCTAGTGTTCAGAATGCAAAACAAAAGGGCATTATTTGGGAGATTAAATACATATATTGTCTTTAAGAGCAGGGATAAGAGATTTATTCCAAGGTAACAATAATCCCTCTCCTGTCTCTTCCAAAATTCAATCACTTTGTTCATTTATTCACACATTATTTTTATTGCAGATTTTGATTCTCTTAAGAGAGGTCAGGGTAGAAGGATAAGTGAACATAAAAGACAGTGAAGCAAACACTGGTGACTGTGATGAGTTCTTGCTCAATCCACAGATTTCTCAAATAGTGTGGATGTTGTCAGGTAATTAAGTAACCACTAACTCTGTATGCCTACTTAAAATGAACCCCACTAACATAATCAGATCAGATAAACAAAGAGTTTTCTCTTATTCTAGGACTGAATGATTATTGCTTTGTGATTTCTCATCCTCCAATAGGCAATTGTGGTTTTTAAATTAGCAGAAGGTGAAATTCTATTTGTCATCAATTTCTCTTAGGGGTTACAGAGCAGAAAACTGCAGACAATCTGCTTCTTTGATGGCTCACTCCTAAAAATCTCTTTTTGTTCTTTATCTATTTGAACTGACAGTGATCAGAGCTACAGCAGGACAGGCCTCTCTGGAGAAATCACCTTCCCCCTGTCTATTGACAGATTCCTCTGTTCTGAATCAGACAGGCCTTGTCCCATCATAGGCATCAAGGCCTTGGAAGTAGCCACCAATTAAACCTCTTGAGCCAGTAAAATCTGAAGCCACTTTTGAGTGTCTGTTCTGATTAGGCAGGATGTGACAAAGCCCATCACCCTCCTCCCAGAGCAGTTCCCTGGTCTCAATTTTCTCTCTTGCCTTCACCAGGTGCGAGAGGTGTGAGAGGAGCTTCACACAAGCTACCCAGCTGAGTCGACACCAGAGGATGCCCAATGAGTGCAAGCCAATAACAGAGAGCACAGAATCAATTGAAGTGGATTAACTGATTGACTGGTTGGAATTAAACTGCAAGGAAAGTCATGATTAAATGTCACGGACACTTAAGCAAAACCAAAGATTTCCTCTGAGCAACTTTCAATCAGTCCCAGAAAACCAAAAGCAGTAATAAAATAAGTAAGATGTTAAGAGATATTGATCCTGGCATGGAAGTGAGACCAGGAAAGAGATTATTTATTTATGACTAGGGATGAGTCTTATTTCAATTGACAAGTTACTTGGGGCTGTTAACATTTCAAGTCCCTCCATGTATTGCTTTAATTCTAAAAGCCTTTATAAAAGTTATTTAATGCCAAAGTGAGGAATCTCAAGGGTTACTCTGCTCATAGTTATGACCAAGAATGCACATGGACTTGTTTGTTGTTGCACCTTTTTTTGTAGCATGACTCAAAGGACCCAGATGTAATCTGTACATTTGGCTAAGTTGATCGTGACATGGTTGTAATAGAAATTGCTGTGTGGGATGGCAAGTGATCAAGAGCTATACCTGGGTCAGTGTCAGCCGCCTCAGACCAAAGGGCATTTCATTTCCATATCTCATGCCTCACACTCTGTGCACTTTTTCATGCAAGTAGTTTGCATTGGCATTGGCATAGATATTCGGGGGGGAGGGGAAGGAAAAAAAAAAAAAAGAAAAAAAAGGAAAAAAAACAAGGAATGTTGTATATCTGCAAATATATGTTATATAAAGAAACAAGTAGGAAAACTATGTTAAAGTAATAGAGCTTTCAAATTCAATCTAATAGCTATGAAAGGCAGAGGTGGTAGAAAGTATTTTAAACACTTAAGATTCAAGTATGTGTGCAAATCATATTATTAGGAGCAAAAAACCATGAAGATATTTTTTGTTTGGATGACTAGTTTAATGTCATGCTGATTTCTAGGAAATCTGATCAGAAATCCAAGCTGTAGTCCATTGATATTTTTATTCTGTTGGTTTGGATCAAATTGGAAATGCTCCTGTATTAGATGAAGATTTAAATATAGTTGGGCTGAGTTTCAAAACAAAAGCTAAATCTGAACTCAGACACTATGTAAATTTCTTGGAGGCTTCATAGTATTCACTTCATGGAAATTTGCCTGGTACAGTGAATGAAAGAAAGCCAAGATATTCCCAACATCAGTGTAAAAAGCTCAGATGTCATTACATTGGTTTGATCTAACAATCTCCATATTGTCTTTTTTTCATGTCTTTTACCTGTGATGTATTTCAGATTTCATGATTTTGTCTATGTTTTTCACTTCTAGAGACCAGCAGTGAGCAGTTTGTTTATGTATTGATTGTCTCAATGCTAGAGCTGTAGATTGATAAAAATGTAAAAAAAAAAATAAAAAAAGAAAAGAAAAAACCCCAAAAACACACACACACAGAGGGGAAAAAAAAAAAAAAAAAAGAGAAAAAAAAAGAAAATAAAAAAAAAAAACCACCACCACCAAGAAGGAAAACCTAAAGTGTTCTGAAGTCATGCTATATCATAAGGTAAAACTGCAAAATAAAATTGTGGAGATTATGGGGATTAAAACAGAATAATTCAGTTTTGCACCAAAACTGAAGTGCTGACTGGCTCATAAGGGCTCAGTTGATTATATTAAATATTTTAAACACATTTATGGGGATGATTTTAAATATGTAGAGAATTAAGTATCCAGTTCTTTAAAGGGCTAGACAGAATCAGCTTCAAATTTAATACCAGGTTCAGACCATTTATGAATCCTGCAGAGAGCTCAAGCAGAAAAAGAGCCTACAGTAAAATACAAATTCATTTAGAAGGAGTTTAAAAGCTAAGACATCCTTATTGCATGAGGTTCATTTGTTATATTGCAAAAACTGCACTGCAGAATCTGGAGTTTGCAAAGCTTTGCAGGAAATTACTTTGGGAGTATTTGTGTTCAGCTGTGTAAAATTTAAAAAACATTGTGGGGGATAAAAAAGATTTTTTTTATCATTGTTCTAGAAACTACCAGATTATTTCATAAAGAATCTTCATTCCTGTGAGTTTCCAGCTCTGTTTCTCAGTGCAGAGATAAGAGGAGTAAGCGATTCTGTCATCACTTGCCTGATTTTATCCTCAAAACTATGAGAAACTCTTAGCTACTATATAAATGTGTTTGTTTGTTTGTTTGTAGGTTCAATGAAGCATGGGAAGCTGGGTAGGAAGACTTGTAACGTAAAGGGGTCTATCTGAACACTATTTTGTTCCTAGCAAGGCTAATGAAACAGAAGAAACCAAAATCGGATCCTAAACCTTTCAGACCCTCATGCCTTGTAGTTCACATCTTCCCTTATTTAAGTGACTTAATCTAAAGTAACATTCTGGTGGGGCACCAACATTTAGTTAACATTTGAACAGCAGCTGTAGATCATTTCTGCAAGCAAATAGTTTAAAGAGAGAAAAAGAGAGCAGGAATTAATAAATAGAGAGAAAATGTCACACTCTGAAAAGCAGCTATGTTAGATCAGTGACTTGTGCTGTTGTATTATCTAACCGTGCCCTTGTGTTCAAGGAAGTGGTTAGTGACAGTGCAGAGCAATCCACTCCGTGCAGAAAGGAATTTGTAGTTAAATCCTGTAGTGCAAATAGTATGTAAGTATGTGCTTACAGATATTGCAAGTTTCCTGCTGACTACAGATAGGCTTACTTGTATGTTTTTTATTTAAACATGTGTCTAAATATTCTCCTGAGTGAGTATGAAGTAAAGATCAATTATTTCAAGATTTTACTGGATTTTTTAAAAAAATGCACTAGAGTAGTATGTCTGCAGAACTTTTTTTTTTCTTCAGAATAATTCTTTTTTGTGTAAATCACTATGTGTTGCCATGTGCCTAAGCACAATTTCAATTATTGTATTATTTTATACATGGCATTTTCACAACAGATTTGGCAGCATACAAAAGCAATACGGTGAAAACCCATGATTTCATAGTGGGATGATCTTGAATACAATGTTTGGCATTCTGTTACAACATAGCAAGAGTAAAACTAACATTAAGAAGCTAATACAACCCAAAAATCCAGTTCCTGCCTGCACTCCTAAATGCTGAGTGAATTTCAGCTCATGTACTGACAGAACAAATGTACATTTAGGTCTATTATGCATACAGTATGTGTTTGCACACAGTAAACTGAAGCAGTAAGTGTAGTACAATTATCTTTAAATGTAATGATTACGTGCCTACCATTTCAGAATTTCTGAAGCACTTGGCATCTCTGTTTTGTAGTATGCTAAAAAGACCAAGCTTTTGCTTTTGGGATTTTTTTTTTCATCCAACCCTGAACATTTTGGAAGTCATATTTAAAAATTGTGCCTAATTCTGATTTTTTTTTTCTTAGTGTGGAATTAAATTTTATGCATTCATAGAGTCATGCCTTTCAGAAATACTTTAGGTCCTTTGTAAACCTGCAGTTACAGCCCCTAAATATGATAATTTTTAATATAATTTGATTTTCTTCCCATGAAAGAAAACTGAGTTGGGAATAATGTAATAATTTCAGCATATGACATACTAGAAACTTACAAGCAATGATGTGTATATCTTTTTCTTTGGGTGACATCATCTCTCCTCTAATATTTATTTTTGTATGGTACCATTGCATTATGTGTACTGTCTTATAGCTGAAGAAATGATGTTATTTCAAACAAATAAATAGGTGAATGTCCAAAAGTAAGTCCTCATTGCTTTTGAGAGTCATCAGTTGCTATGGTTTTTTAGAAATTACAATTAGAACACTATTGTGTTCCATCCAAGTCCTTACTGTATATAAGATTCCAGAAAATGAAATATTCTGGGATTGCATGAAATTTATTTTTTTCTCTAGATTTTTGAAGTTTTAACATCATCAAGCTAGTCTGAAAAACTACATAAATCCACCCTATAGATGTAGAGTATGTAGAAGGGGTCCTGTGTTGTAATAAAAATACTTATAACACTGTAATTAGAAAAATAAACAAATGCTTGCATTTGTTAAACTTCATAAAATACATCTTTTTTACTGCAGAGGACCAACTAAGTCATGCATGTAACTGTATTCTTGTGGTATCAATTGTAAAGATTACATTGTGTTTAAATGAAAATAACAGGCACACATTTAAAAAAAAGATGAAGAAATGTAAATATATTTGTTTAATAAAACATTTCTATTACTGTACTCTAAGCCTTTGTCTTATGTTAATATTAGATATGGAATTTTGTGCATGCTGTGCAGAAAATCACTGTTTCATGCTGTAGTTGTCATCATCAGTTTCCAAAAGGTGTTTGTAACTTGGAAGTTGCAAACTGTTTTGCAGCAAGAGTGAGATCAAATTTAGTTTTCTTGTTCACTCGGTGTCACCTACTTCTGTTGTTGTTATGATGATGGCACGGTGCAGTCATATGCTCAACAACTGGAATTCATTTCATAGGTTATGATGGAAATCATGTCATACTGTAACCAAGTCTTTCTATTCTGTGTACTCGAGTGTGGGGGGGTTTATGGTTGATGGCCTGAGTCTTTTTTAGTTACCCGAATCCTGATTTAAAAGGATCACCATCTAGTGGACTAAGACAGAATTTCAAAATTCCAGTTGGTGTGATCTCTGAGCTCATTCTTTAAAAGTTGCTCTAAAACCAAAGCTAAAAGCAATAATCATACTCCACTACAAGGGACCTTCAGTGCCTTTTTTGGCATTATTTCATTGTTGTTGTGTATGTTGAAGAGGAGCGACTCGTTCACTAAGTCATCCCCTGTTCCACTTGAAAAAATATCACTTAAGTATGAGAAAAATGTATCAGCTTCTATCATTTTTCATGCTATATGACCTTTAACATAGCACAAGAACCACCATGGTAGAATAATTGTGCAAAACTACTGTACTTGAGAAAATACTCAGGTAAATGGGCCAGCAGACTGCCTGCTGGTTTGCAAGTAGCAGGGATAGTCAATCATTCGAGCCAAGCTCCTATGCATCCAAGGAAAGTTCTTTATAATAAGAAATTGTATTGAGTCATGCTGTATGAGATTATATCACCAAACCCACATAATCTGTGATGGGTTAATGAGACACAAATGCCTAAAGGGGGTGGTGGGTGGAGGAGTGCTTTGGCCGATGGCCCAATCTATGATGTAAAAGAGTCCTGGGGTCCACCGTTCTGAAACTCCTTGGGTACATGATTTAGAAGAGGTGAGGCTCAGGTCTGCTAATACTTTTATTTTAATGCATTTACTGAACTTTTTTAGTTTGGCTGAGGACTAGGAATGTGCTGCTTCTTTACTTTTGTCTCTGAATATGTTTACTGAGATACAGGGAAGAATCAATCCTGTATTAAAATGCAAAAGACCAGCAGAACAAAATAGCATCAGTTTTATTGTTTGGTGGTCGTTTTTTATCGAAATAAAGTGGACCCTTCTTCCCAAAGAAATACACAAAAGACCAGCAGGGTCTGAGTCACTGCACACCCTATTTAGGCAGCCTCCTTGGCATCACATGGAATCTACCAGTTAAAACAAGTCCAGCGACATCCTAACACGCAAAAAAACCACAAACCCAAGCTACACTTGAACTGATGACACACAGATGTTGAAGCTGCACTCTGACCTCCATGTACTGAATGTTGACTCTCACAGCCTCAGATGTCTTTTGCTACTTGCTAAAGGACAGTCAGTAAAACAGTTTGACAGCAGACTGGGACAATCTCATGTTGCATGGTTGCTGGGGACCTGATAACCCTTTGGACTAAACCAATATAATGTGGGGTGCTTAACATGCCCAGTTATCTGGTGAAATATGAATCACTTGCACAGGTGTAAAACAAACTAAGAAGACCACAGATATCCAAACACAGCCACTGGAGGTTTCTTATCCATGTAAGTAAGGATGTCAATAAACTAATGGTGTAGGAGACCTAGATAACCAAATATGAGGGGAACTAGTCCAAGAGCATGGGGAAGGAAGAGAAACATATAGTCTATCTCAAAAGGGATCCAAATCTTTGCACTCAAGTCAGTATGTCTCATCTCTGAAGAAAGCATTGACAAACCTTATTTTTTTTTAAACTATTTTAATTACAAATAATGTTAGAGACACCCCAGTCTTGAAAAGCCACATTAGTGAAGTCTAAGTCATCCATTGTAGCCATAGCTGGATCACTCTTTCTCCCAAGTATTGTCTTCAATGACCACAGCAGATAAATTACCAACACTTCTCCATGGATTTAAATTTTTTCCAATCTTTACTCTTCTCCCCCCTCCCATCTTGTCATAATTTTCATACATCATACTTTTATTTTTCTCTTCCCCTCTGACATTATTGCATTCAATCATTCTCCTCATCTCTAGAGTTTCTCCAAGTAAGTTTGCAAATGACCAGGGAAGGAACTTGTATTTGTTTATATTGGCACGACAAGTCACAGAAATACATTTTTTTAATAATCTTAGCCTCAATAGAATGAGTCAAACCATAACAGTCATGCAGAGTTTTCAACCTGGAATTTGGTGGGGTTTTTTTTAGGGAACCAAGAACATTTCAGCCTACAGCACACACATTACTAGTGATCAAATATTCTTCTGGAAGCTATTTGGCTTTTTTTTTTTTTTTGTTCATTAGCCTTATACTGGAACAATTGTTTTCTGTATTTCTCATGGCATAAAAGGTAGTTAGATATGGAGTAAACTAAAATTTTCAAAAAAACCCCTGACTTTCTAGCAAGTGAAAAAGAGCACGATAGCCATAGCCATAGCCATAGCCATAGCCGTATGTTTCTCCGAGTCACTCTTCATTTTCTGGTTTTGTTTTGTTTTGCTTTATTTTGTTTTCTGTAAAGCACAGAAAGCCAATTTCTTCTGCTTATGTGTAAAATCTTCAGGAATGGGGATAATATATTGTTGTAATACAGCACCATATTTCTGCTCAATGAAGAACTGCAGTAGTGCCTGATTGGTCAGTGATAAGAACACCCTGTAACTCCCATCTCAGTTTTTGAAATAGCTTATGTGACGAAGATGTATGTTCCATGAATAGGGAGGCAGATACAACAGAAACAGCATCTGGTTATTAATATCAGTTCTTTTTGTTTGTTTTTATATAAATCGCTGATGATAGAAAGGAGTCTACACTGTTTGTTGAGAGGTAAGCAGATATGTGAAGTTTAAGCTCTGAAGGAAATTTAGAAGCATATTTTGTCTGCCTTCCATTTTAGTAGCTTTCCTTTGCTCTTACACTAATAGTAGAGCTCATAGAGAAAGATCTTCTTTCATGTATACATTGTCAGTACAGATTGGTCACATTGTTTTTCATATTTTGCCTCCTAGAATTTGCTTCTAGAAAAGTAAAGGGCTTGCTTGAAGTGAAAGAATAAAAAAGAAGAGGAAAAAAAAAAAGAAGTAGAGAGAAATATCTTTCATAAATTTTAAGGAAAAAAAAAGTTTAAAATGTCTTTATCAAATGGACTGCTTTGTGCATGATTCCTCTGCTTCAAGAGCTCATTTTCATCTAAAAAGTATTTTGAGAGTTGCTTTCTGTCTAGATCTAATTACTAGAGCAAAAAATTATGAACATTTGTATCCCGTGAATCATGATTCTTCACGGAGTCTTTTGGTTATCTCTTCTGTGTAAACTTCTTAGTAACACTGTTGATTTTAAAATTATTGCTTTACTTTTTACCATGGCAGCTAACATAATTTATCTCTTTCAGTCTTGCATGATCATATGGCCTTAATTCGCCTCAGTACACTAATGAAGGTACTGCATTGTTCATATGATATGTATTAACAGGTTATACTCTAGATTATGGAAGAATTTTAAGCCATGTGTAGCTTTTCTTTTCCCTCTCATTTGTTTGGCGGTACCATTCTAGTTCAGGATTTTCCTGTGTCAAATAAGGTTGCTGGTTATCTCCCTTTCTATTAACAGCCTAAATACAAGGGCTCTTTGCCCACAAAACCCCATGGTAGTCTCATGGATACAGACATAAGGCTTCCCTGATCTGCTTCCAGTCCACTCTGGGACAGGATGGCTTCTTTTCTATTATTAGGTCATTAATTGAAACAAAATCAGAAAATCTCAAGGTAATGATACAGATGTTGGTTTTGATTTCATTTGCTCAAATTTTCTCTTCTATTGTGATTCTTACCATCACGGAAACCACACATTTTAGAAATTGCAGAAAAGAAAGGAAATCTGCATCACTGTTTACTTATGGTTAACCTTCACTTTGTGCCTTAATTTGGTTTGTATCCCTCTCACCTTTAAATGTATCATTAACAGCACAGGAACCAAGAACCAACACAAACTACCAGGCTGAATTATGATAAAAGCCTTAATGAAATAGTGCAGCAAATACATGCTAATATTGCAAAGCCATTAAAAATTATAATTAATTTTTATTATGGCAAAGAAGAGTTGTCAGTATACTGGAAATTTTTTTTAATCCATGCAGCTTTTACATATGTAATAAATTAATTGTCAAAGTATCTTGGAGTGATGGCTTCATGTAAATTTTTTGAGGGGGGGAGCTGTTTTTCACAAAATACTCAACCCATTCAACCTACTTAGTGAGGCTGAGACAATGCAATCTATCCTCAAATCTGTCACAGCCATAGCTGTAGTTATTTAAAACAGCCAATCCAATCATCCAGCTCTTGATTGTTTGATGTTCTTTCTGGCTTTACACTTTTGATTAAGAGGCTCAGCAAAGAGGTGAAGTTGCAGAATAGCAAAGGGTTCCTTGACCTAAAGAACTTGAAGTCAGCAGGTCACTTATAGTGACTGTGATTTATTGAACAATAAACACAGCCTCACCAAACCCTTTTCTTTCCTTACTGGCCTATTTTTGCTGGCATCATATTCTTGTTCAGAGGACACATGCAGAGACCTTACAGTAAAATTCTTCAGTTTCGATATCAAATAAAATGTATCTTAGATTTTGCCTAACCATAATCATGTATTTAATAAACTGTCCTCAGAAATGGGATAAACTAATAATAATAACCTATGCTACTGAAGGATGTCAGCATACTGTACTAAAACAAAGAATAGCACTAGACATTTCATTAAAAAATGAAACTTCAGCAATGA